TTTAGGTATGACCCTGTATCCACCGGGGATGATGACAGCTATTTGTAGGAATGTATCCATTTTTGTCTGTATCTTTAAAAAATGTTTTAAAACATAACTTATTATTATCTTAAAAATGTTAAGTCTAAAAAATTGACCAATTCTTGGCTCATATTATAGGTAAAAGTTAATCAATATATAAATTCTTTCCAATATATTCTAAAAATAGTTGTAGCCTTTCTTTCTGTAACCTTTCCCAAACTACCAAAAATCATCGATATACCTTTTCCATATTTTTAGTCCTTTCCAATTTCTGCCAAAAAAATTTCCTTATCCTCCATTTTGCTAAAAAAATATTGGCCAAACTGGGAGCAAAATTTCGCGCCCCATCGCGACACACTTTAGGGGGAGGGACCCGATACCTTTTGCTCATAAAACAATCCACATCATACCAAAAAAATAGTTCTTACCATAGAAAATTCCAATAGTTGTATAATAAACTTCCTTTGTTTGATATGTAAATGCTGTATGAGTATTTTAAGGCCCATTTTATTGCATCTATTCAATCTTTGTGTTTTATACTAGTATATAAGGAAATTGACATCTATAGTCATCAGATACGTTTTTGTGTAATCTCCATACCTTCCAATAAATTAAACTCACATTCTAACTGGCCGTCTTTTAGATAAGAAGGCGCTTTTTATTAACCACTGGGCTGTATAGTAAAAGTCTATATATTGTCCCACCCTTGAATGAATTGATCCTATTCCATTAATAATAGGCCTACCTGGTGGGTTAGTCAAACTTTGTGGATCTTAGGTAGGATATATATAAATGGAACCTTACAGTGTAAAGGGACAAGATATAATGCTTCTTTCTCATGTATAATTTTGTCATCTTCCGCTTTTTTTACTAATTTTACAAGCTGTTTTTTCTATATAAAGCTGTGGGGTTTTTTGAAATTTTTTCATAAGTACTTCTGTCCCCTAAAATTAAACTCATTTCCTTTTCATTAGTTCAATCTGTCCATTATGACCACCCCTCCCCCCTTATCCGCTGGTCGGATCACAACATTATTTTTCTTTTTCAATGTGAGCAAACCCTTATAAATGGATTCTTCTTCCTTAAATTTTCGTGCCTCTAGTTCATATAGATCATCAATTGTCATTTGTTTAAAAACTTCTACATTCATATTTCTAGAGTTAGAGGGATTAAACGTGGATTTGTTTTTTAATTCACTATGAACATATTTAGATCTTGATTCCAAATTTGCCGTAGATGTTGGCCCTGGTAAAGAAGCAAAAATACTTCTTAATATTAATTTTCCTGATATATTTATTAATGGCAATATATGTATTAAATTTATTTAGATTCGTTTTAGGAGCAAACTTAAGGCCTTTATCCAAAACTGAAATTTCCTCATCTGTTAACGGAACTGAACTCAAATTATAAATACCTTCCCCTAAACTTCTTTTCGTTTCCTTTTGTTCTCGTTTCCCCCTTCCACGGGTCGCTCTTCAAGTTTTTGAGATGTTTAATTTTAAAGGTTTTTATCCATGCAAAAAGTGTAGAATTTGTAGAACGACTGGGATAAAAGATAGGATGATCTCATCCTTTAAATCCCATTCTACTGGAGAGGAATTTCTTATTAAGCGGTTTATCACTTGTAATACACGTTATGTAAACATACGTATTGGAATGTCCGTGCAAGTTTCAGTACATTGGTAGGACTAAAAGGAATTTGTCAGTCAGATTGGAAGAGCATGTGAGAAATATTATTAAGGGCAGAATAGACCATAATGTATCGAAACATTTTAAAAGAATGTCATAATTCAAATCCAGGACTTTTAAAATTTTGTGGCATTGACAGTATTAAAGGACATTGGAGGGGTGGAAATAGAGTGCAAAAGTTGTCGCAAAATGAGACCTTTTGGATATTTAAGATGAATACATTAAAACCTAGAGGTCTTAATATAGAACTTGATCTAAATTGCTTTATTTCTGATTTTTAGAATCCTTGTGGCGAAAATGTTGAGAGCTGGGCTTTAATTTTGTGTGACCTAGTAGAATTTTTAGGCGCTGTGGCTCGTATTAAGTAATGTATTAATTATAGGTGTTTTATATATAAAAAAATACAAAGGAGCTTATTAGAATTTATATAAAATTTTTAGTTAAAAAACAATTAAAAAAATTTTTTTAGTAAGTTTTTAAAAAAAAAAAATATATTGGTGGAGTTGGGATATATAAAAAAAGGTTTTTGAATGTAAAGTATAAGAAGAGTTTTAAGAAACTAGAAATGAATAACATATAGTTAGTATATAAATTATTTAAATCTGTTCTTGGAAATGACCACTGGAGGGAGTAAAGTGTTTAAGACTGAAAAAATATAATGAATTAAGTATAATGGGATGTAATATATGAGTTTGACCATTGGAGGGAGTAAGAGGCCTAATAATGACGTAGCGTTATGTATATATATATATATATATGTCCGATGGGTTATATTTATTTTAAATTAAAATTAATAGGATTTATCAAATATGTTTTAAAATGGGGTAGAAGATTAGAGAATATGTGTATAATTAAAGTTTTCATATATGATGTATTTTACTGTATTTTGGGCGGATTATCGGATTAGACAACATGGAGGTTTATTTGTTTATTGTGATGGTATATGTATCTGCATTTCTCTGGTACCCTTCTGGTATTAGTATTTACCCAGACCGATGTTTCGTTTGGGCTCTGGGTATTCAGTAGAGTGAGAGAGGAATTGCGATGGCCTGGTTTCCCTATTCAAAAATGGTGGCGACGGCCTCATACCATTAAGAGACATTAACATAAAAGGAGAGTGGTGTGGGACGTCCGTATCCCTTCAGACGAAGTCCGGAAGTGACGAAACGCGTTAAGGGTGTGACGTAGTGACGCACGCACGCAGACCGGAAGTGTCGCCGCGGCCATTTTGTGGGTTGTCAACACATGGCAAATCGCATTTGTTTGTTAGGACTCACAGAGAAGGCATGTTGAAAGCCGGAATTTGGCAATTTTAATGTAAGTTCTTATTAAATTGTTTTATTACATCTTGAACATGAGCCTTGAGACCCTTCTTGTCTTTTGAGGACCTTGGAATATTTTTGGAGCATTTAGAAGATCTCATATGGATACAGAGGGTAATAGTATCTAAATATTGGTGCTGGTGGATACACACAGTATTGCAGTGTTCACTGAGTGGTCACCGTTTATTCACATGTGCACGGAAAAGATATACACATATATAGTGTTTGCACATTTTTGTGTTTGCACGGAGAGAATATATTTATGTACTAAAACTATGCACTAGATCTCTAAAATTTGTTTTTCTCGAGGTATTACGGGATGAAAAAAGAATTTCTTATGACTGGATGAATTAAATTTGGAAATTTGGACAATTTTTGGACACTAATTCTGTTGGACACTAATTTTTGTTTATATTGGGACTTTTTTGGGACACTTGGTATTGGACTTTTTTATTTATTTATTTATTTTTCAATTTGAATTTTATTTTTCAATTTGAATTTTATTATTATATCGAAGTGTTTGGATTTTTTTATATTCATTTATTTATTTGAATTTGTTTATACATTTCAAAAAGGTTATAATACCATATCCCTATAGTGTACACTTGTCTCAAATGACAGTATCAAGTGTCATTTCTATCAGCTGCTTCCTTCCTCTGCCATCAGCACGGATCACTTCTGACAAGTTTTCTTGACACCAAGAGAAAGCTGGAGACGGGAGGAAACCTGTTCCTATCAGATGTGTTGAGGGGGTGTGTCCCTTCCCTCCAATCAGCTTTCAGAACCCTCCTCACTAAGCTCCCCAAAATATACAATCAGCTCACTGCCCCCTTTTTCCTGAACTCTAAGACAAGCTTTATAAATTTAGCACTTTGAATGGTTGTAGAGAAGAGATGACTGCAGATAAACATGTACAACTTATGTAGGAGGATTGGTTTCAACTCTATCAACTGAGGCCAGTCACTTCACTTGGTTTACAACCACTTTCAATCTCCAAGCAGAATGTTGCAGCCAGTTATTCCTCAATCACAAAACTGCCCATGCCACACGTCTCTTTTTCTAAGTATTGGTGCTGAGCCAAGTGCAGTTAATTCCCACGGCAGTTAATATCTATTCACAACTGTTCAGGAAAGTCTGATATACTACAATCAGAAGACTGAGCTAAGAAATGTAAATCAGTGTACTACTGAACTTCTGAATATCAGAAAAATAGGATTTTTTTTTTTTACCTAAAATCCTTAATAGGACACAGTATGACAATTCAGGTACACTGGGTTATACTGCTGTCTTCAAAAGATTGAAAACTGGCAAAACATAGCTGTAAGTACAGCCTAGTAAACCACTCTCACTCCCAGAATGTCTCAGTTTTGTTAGTAAGCAACAGTAGGAGTGGATCATAAGAACAAGGGGGGACCTGTGTCCTGCAATGTATCACAAGAAAATTATTTTACTGTAAGTCAAAAGTCCTATTTCTTAATTGGTCATTAAGATTGATAAAGGATGATTATTCAGATACAGTGCGATACCCAAAGCCAATCCAACGGACAGGTGGCTCAACAGAACCTACAGAGTGGTCTGAAGAAGACTGAAGCAGGTTTTAGCAGAGGCTTGGACATCTGGTTACTAGTGAAAAAAAAATCTTGATAGAAAAAAAAAAAAAAAGGTATAAAAAAGTAAGTAGCTTGCATCTCTCAGAAGATTGAAGACATCTGTTCTCCTAAGCTCACTAGCAAAAAACTGAGGCAGACTAGTTTTTTTTTTCCCTCTCTGAAATGCTAACGATTTTCTGTTCTCTTAGTTGCATCTACTCCTGCACATGCAGCTTTACTATAACTTAGACGACTAGAAGGAGCAGGATAAAAACCAAATTGCACACTGTGCTTTTAAATCAATAACACGAGACAAAGAAAAAGCAGGATCTTCAAGATCAGTACCAGGAAACACCCATTAAGAGTAATATCAGCTTACCCGTCAACCCTCCTGGGTAAGGAACTGGCACTGGTGAAAAGACAGAAGATGCTCCTCCAAAAGGAGTTATTCCAGATGAACCTCCAAACGGTGTCATGGAATGGCTGTTAAAATTAGTAGATGGTCCTTTGACTGCCGGGGACTGTGCAGCTTGTGTTGGGTCATTGCCAAACGGACTGATTGGCTCCGGCTTGGGTTCTGTTCTGTATTTTATTGATGGACCTTTGTCCTCCTTACTCTTAATACAGCCCATTATACCTGTAAAAGAAAATAAATTGGGTTAGAAAATGTTCAAGTAGAGTAAGCAGTACACTGAAGCAGTTGTATTGTTAACTGGATCCCATATTAATTTGTTATGGTTTAAAAGAGAACACATAGGGGAATTTAGTAAGAATGAAGCAGATAGACTCGCAGATCAACAGGTATGTGTAGTGCTTTGCAGAGGTTATCCTATGTGTCCATACACATAGGATAGAGGAGTTGTTTAAATTGAGTGTTTAGAGGCAGAAAAAAGTAAAACCCTTCTGTTTTGCATTGCATTTGAGTGTTTTTCTGGCAGAGAAAAATGCTAAACACTTCAAAGCGCTAGTACAAAAAAAATGCTCAAAATGAGTGTTTTTTCTGCCAAGAGCACTGGCATTTTTTTTAAGCCAGTGTGAATGGGGATTTCTAGCTCAAACAAGAAAAAATATTAAAAATAAAAAGACGTCAACCTTCTCAATTTAGATAAAGACCTCTATTTTTTCATTTTAGAAACAGAAAAAAATCCCCCTCAGGCGAACTACATAATCTTGAAGAATTTTAGAGAACTTTAGTCCAGATCCCTGTCCACTTCTGTTTGCGGATATGTCTATAAGTCCACTCAGAGAAGTGCAAAAACACGAAATGACATTGTTGGGATGCCATATTTAATGCAACAGACCACTTGTAACTTGAACATTTAGGTGACCATGTCACCACAGGGTTACTTGTAGACAAAAAAAAAAAAAAAAAGCGCAAGTATACTTAGCTTTACTTTGGCCCACATTTTTAAAGGCTGATGTTTTGCTGCTCCCACCTGCTGCAGGTTTCTTAACTTCTGGGTATTTGAACACCTGCTCTTCCTGCCATACACTGTGGTTCCTTTATACAGCTTGTACATGTTGTAGTGATATACGAGCCGGAAAAGGAACAACAGTGTGCTGTGGAGAAGACACATTTGAAGTGTTAAATACCTGGAGAGGTGGGGAGCAGCAAAGCAATGGTGTTTGAGGACACAAGCCGCTAGAGGGGTAATTATACTTCCCCTTCCTTTACAACCCAGGCTTTGTTTGCTTTAAGTGCAGTGTAAGCATCTGGGAAGTGTAGCAAGGCAATTATAGGAGCAGGAGAAATAAAGATTTGGAAAACTGAACACTTCAGGCATGGTTAAAAAAAAGCTGAAATCCGTTTTTTTAGCAGGTATAGAAATCGTGGTTGGCTACAAAATGAAATAGAAAGACAATCTTTTAAACAACAACCATGTGTTCTAAAAACTTTTGTTTCCCTTTAACGATGACAATCATATGGTGCAAGATAACAGCAATCTCTCTGTTCAGCCTGGGAAGTGAAGACGTTACCGCCTACATCTTCCTCTGTCTGAAACCTCATAAGACTTCAGAACACGGGAGGGATCAAGAAACAATAACTTCAAGGAAAAAGGGTGTGGGGGTAAGAAAGTGACACTGTCAAGTTAGGTATGCAGTCATACTGAACTACAAAAGGATATCATAAACTGATTATAACCCCCAAGCCACCTACCTATCTATGGCAAAGTCTGGGCGTATTCAGCACTGTTACAGGAGGCAACAAAACAGTCTTTTTACAATATACATATGCCTGAACACTACAAAATGTATAGCCTTGATAGAGCTTTGCATTTTTTGTGTTCCAAAATGTAGTTTTAAAGCAAACATTTGAGCCAGAATTAAAAGACGAGCCTAACATTACACTAAAACTGCAAGCTAAACCCTGCAGTAATGAAGAACATCTGTCCTGATGTCACTCTAGCTGAGGCTAAACAACTTCATAATCTCTGTCTGCCAAAGGGAAACTTTCCAGGACTTGCTAGGGTGGATAACATCCTTACACATGGAAGAAAATCATGTATTACAAGACGGGTTATCAAACAGTCCAAGTACAAAGCTGTGCTCCACTAATACCTAAAGAATTAAACTCAAAGTTATATTCGGTACCACATGCCTTGACTAGCAAATGATTGCAAGGTCTTGACTGTTGACTGCTCTGGAAAAAAAGCTTAGCTATTAAAATGCAACTACAACTAAAACTCTGTTCTCCTCGGATAGTGCACATGCCAAAGATTTCCATAGAGAATTGACTATGGGCTGATGGCAGTGCCACCACAATCCCCACCGCTACTGGGACAGGGGCTGGGGGCAGTGCCTCCACAATCCCCACCGCTACTGGGACAGGGGCTGGGGGCAGTGCCTCCACAATCCCCACCGCTACTGGGACAGGGGCTGGGGGCAGTGCCTCCACAATCCCCACCGCTACTGGGACAGGGGCTGGGGGCAGTGCCTCCACAATCCCCACCGCTACTGGGACAGGGGCTGGGGGCAGTGCCTCCACAATCCCCACCGCTACTGGGACAGGGGCTGGGGGCAGTGCCTCCACAATCCCCACCGCTACTGGGACAGGGGCTGGGGGCAGTGCCTCCACAATCCCCACCGCTACTGGGACAGGGGCTGGGGGCAGTGCCTCCACAATCCCCACCGCTACTGGGACAGGGGCTGGGGGCAGTGCCTCCACAATCCCCACCGCTACTGGGACAGGGGCTGGGGGCAGTGCCTCCACAATCCCCACCGCTACTGGGACAGGGGCTGGGGGCAGTGCCTCCACAATCCCCACCGCTACTGGGACAGGGGCTGGGGGCAGTGCCGCCACAATCCCCACCGCTACTGGGACAGGGGCTGGGGGCAGTGCCTCCACAATCCCCACGGCTGGGACAGGGCAGTGCCGCCACAATCCCCACCGCTACTGGGACAGGGGTTGGGGGGGCAGTGCCGCCACAATCCCCACCGCTACTGGGACAGGGGCTGTGGGCAGTGCCGCCACAATCCCCACCACTACTGGGACGGGGCAGTGCCGCCACAATCCCCACCGCTACTGGGACAGGCTGGGGGCAGTACCGCCACAACCCCCACTACTACTGGGAAGGGCTGGGGGCAGTGCCGCCACAATCCCCACCACTACTGGGACGGGGCAGTGCCGCCACAATCCCCACCGCTACTGGGACGGGCTGGGGGCAGTGCCGCCACAAACCCCCACTACTACTGGGAAGGGCTGGGGGCAGTGCCACCACAATCCCTACCACTACTGGGACAGGGGCTGGGGGCAGTGCCGCCACAATCCCTACCTCTACTGGGACAGGGGCTGGGGGCAGTGCCATCACAATCCCCACCACTACTGGGACAGGGGCTGGGGGCAGTGCCGCTACAATCCCCACCACTACTGGGACAGGGGCTGGGGGCAGTGCCGCCACAATCCCCACCACTACTGGGACAGGGGCTGGAGGCAGTGCCATCACAATCCCCACCACTACTGGGACAGGGGCTGGGGGCAGTGCCGCTACAATCCCCACCACTACTGGGACAGGGGCTGGGGGCAGTGCCACCACAATCCCCACCACTACTGGGACAGGGGCTGGGGGGGGCAATCCCCATAATCTTTGGGACAGGAACTATGGGGATCACCCCAACAGGTAGTCAAGAAAATCTAACAAAGGACTGTAGGAAGGACAGCTTTATTTTTGGTTAAAGCATATACAACATAATTGCGATAACGACATTCTGTTGATTTTTTTTTTTTTAAATTGCAACCTGCAGCTTAATATTTATGTATATAGAGAGTCCAGAGTTGCATATTATATAATTTATGCCTAAACATGTGATTATAGTAAACCTAAAACTTACTGTATTCTGAATGATGAAGGCTGGTATTTGTATATCACTGATCGTGAAGCGAAGTTCTTGTTCTCTCTAATAACTGGGACAGGGAATCAAGGGGTCTTACTTTCACATATAGTTTAAAGCAGGCCTCCTCCCGAAAATGAAAGTAATCATGATCCTCTACCTCCCCCCCTAAGCCTGACATATCTATCTTTCTCCATCATCGCCTTGGTGAGGATGAGGTCTGCTTGAGATGTCAACCATAAACAGCAAGCATAGCACAAATCTTTGCAAAAGTACAGTAATACAAACAAGTATTTACACAGGATCTTGCTGCCAGAAAGATCCTTTGTAAAGATGTGCGCTCCATGTGCATGAGGACTAACGTTACAGCTGGAATCTTACAGCCTACTAAAGGCAAAACCCTCTCTCTTAAAAATACCTTTGTTTTAAAACAAACCCTAAGTATTAAAGGCTGGAACAATTCAGTAGAATTCAGAGCCTGTGTTCATAAAAAACGTGTAGGTATTTTTCCACAGTCAAGACTACGTCTCTTCCTGAAGCTTGGAAAACAAATGATATGAGTCACACAGTTCTGGAGTGATAGCCTGAATCTGCCTGGAATTGCCGAGCTGCGTCATTCTCACAAATGTAGGGCACACAGGCGATTACAGAGACCTGAATCTCCTTGAGTGAACAGACCAGCACTTCCTGCACATGCCTGTTGCTAGCAGCCAAAAACACAATTTCATGGGCCGTAGCCTTCTATACATTCTTATTGGTAAACCATGGAAGTCTTAACATGGGTGCCCAAGAAGACATGAGAATTATTATTGAAGCAAAGTAAAAAACTAGAGGCAAGTTTACACTATTGAGCTGCAGACTGCTTTATGTACTCTGGGTATCATTTATTTTGAAGGCACTGCAACACACAAAACCTGAAAAAGGGTCAGGTGTGGTTTTGGCTGTGATCACGTGCCATGGTAGTCCATTTTTTATTTATTACAGGTACCTATATAGCACCATTCATTTATGCAGCACTTTTACTTCTATAAATGTACATTCACATCAGTCCCTAATTCTCAGAGAGCGTACAGTCTAAGGTCCCTAACTCACATTCATACATACACATACTAGGGCCAATTTAAACAGGAGCCAATTAACCATTCAAAATACATGTACTGCCTTAATGCAAAGCATAGTAAAGGCACCACAAGGTGCACACTATCATGCATGCATTACCGCACCATTTACCTATGGATCTGGCTGAAAGCTAGACTCTAGGAATATTTTTTAAAAATTCCATCCATTCCCCCAAGCACTGAAA